CATCGGAGAAAAAAAATCGGTAGAATTCTGACCTGATCCCCAAGAAATGGAGGCTGTAGTGCCTAAACCCAAGAGAAAATTAACTGTGGGTAATGCTATCAATGTGTTGGTCAGAGGAGATCATTGACGTTGTGGATACAGATGTTTTCATCACTTAAAACCAAGAAAACTCCGAAACAGAAAAATTTCCCAATAAAATGGCCGCCGTTTCGCGCGCGCGTCCATAATTATCGCCCACATTGTACCGTAAGAAACTTGTCGACAAAAGCATATTCTAGTTTTCTTCTGCAGTTTCAACCAGAATCGATGTTCACGAACACGACGTACAAGCGGTTCGATACTAACCCTCGCGGATCATCCTTGCTTCGTGAATTCGAGAGCGGTACGAAACGAAATTGCCTAACGCTACCAATACCGTTTCAGTATTGTATATGTCAGTACGAGAGGAAGGAAATCACGTGAGTTCTGGCCTCCTCACCTCCTATCTAGCGAGTTCTGCATTCTAAAAGATCACTGGAGAATTGCTGTTCACCACGCGAGCGCTTTTTCATTTCGTCGAATGGGAACATCTTCCAAACTGGGTTCCTTTTCCATACTGTTTTAGTTAGGTAGCGCTTTCCTGTGCCACAGGAGTGACAGCATAGGCTATCTAACCTACAGGGCACGTCTTACCTGGGGATTCCTAACTAGAGGTTTACCTGGGAGGTGAAAGTTCTTATCAGAGCAGAAATTTCTGAAGAGAAGTCGTATTCTGCAAAATTCTTCGCCAGCGGCACGGCGTGATCTGCTATCCCACCAGGGTACATTATCGTTGTGTGAAGCATTGGGGGTCGTGACTTTTCCGCGTCGGGGGGGGGGGTCATATGTGGTCGTTGTGGGGAGAGGGGGGGGGCTTTGAGAGAAATTCGCCGCGTTGGGAAAAATTTCTCCTGGTAGTTGGTTTTTTGTGATTTCTCCTGTTCCATGTGATTTTCCGTGGTTTTTTTTTCTATGTTTCATGTGTATTATACACCCTCACTCACCCGCTCGATGCTATACCCTGTATCCCACCAGGAATGGAAAAATGAAACTGTTGGGGAAAAGTAGAAAAATTTCCGGGGACTTCGGGAGGTCGGGTCAAATTAGAGAAAATTTTCTCGTTTCACACTGGCTATGTACCCCCTCCCCGTTCGGCGAAAAATTATTGGGTGAAAATTGGAAAATATGGGAAACTGTAGGGTAGTTTTGGAGAAGGAGGGGGGTGGGGATTGTACCGACCACCATTCCACGCATCACGATGCTGTGCCCTGTATCCCACCAGGAATAGAGAAGAAGTTCAAAACGTCCATACATGCGACCCGCGCGACCTTTTTGCTTCTTCGCTTTCGGTTCAATGGGTGAGCGCTACATATTAAATGGGAACTTCTGTGACACTTGAGAAAAACTGATTAAGTTAGAAGCCCGAGTCGATTGTTCAATTTGAATGAATTTAAGTGACGCTACGAAGCTTGAGACGCTAGGGAGTTTCGCGGTGGAAGGAATCAAATCGGCATTCAGTCATCATGGTGTTATAGAAGACTGCCAACCCGTTTCTCTGAACGAGGTAAAAAGTATAGATCATCGGAAGTTTCAATGGTTTCTTGAGCAGAAACGATATTCGGCTCGAAGGGAAGGGGAGGGGGTGAGAGGGAGGTTTTTCAGCTACTGGTACCACAAAAATGTGATTCGTTTCTGTTGCGCACTTCTGAGGAGGCCGAAATAGGTGAACAATAAGTTAGTGGTTCAAATCCCGTGAGTTATAAAATTCTGCATCCCTGCAATGTCCATTTTCTTGCGTTCCCTGGAGAAGTCGAAACTTTCCTAAAAAAACGCCTTGAAAACGCCCTTTCTTGCCTTTGTCCTAGGAGAGGAAAATCGCCGAATACGCAGTGAACTCGTGGGAATTTTTTCGCGTGTTCCTGGCATTTCAAGAAGCGCACAGCGAAACGAGCTACTTTTACGTGGTGCCGTTCCAACTTCTACAACAACCATTTCGGAAACGGGCTCCACGACTAGACGTCCCATTAACAAGTGAGCGGAGTCAAGTGTGCCACTAAATAAAAGTGTATTCAAGGGTCTATGTGTGTATAGATGAAAGTGTTAAAAAGGAGTATACGTCTATATATAGGTGAAATGTGTTTAATGTGAATGCAGATTGTGTCGCGACAAAAGGGGCGGGGTCGTCTGGGGCGGGGCATGTAATGGGGCCCATTGTGTGCGGGAAACATGTGATGGGCGCTTCGCGCAAGATTGGCAAGAAAACCGCTTCCGGGAAGAGTCCTGAAAGAAAATCCACTTTCAATATTTAGTCATGTTCTTAGATATTATTGCAGACCTTATTAGTTGAAGAATACACCTTACCAACTCGGAATGCTTCGGATTCCGGCGTTCATCTGTACTATGTCATTTTCAGTGTAGCCTTACCGGCTCATGGTAAATTCGAGGTAGTTTCCTGAGAATTCATTTCTTTTCCTTCAAAATGTGTTCAAGAATGTTTAAGATATATATCCGTGAAAACGAAAACGGCACTTTGGAATTGGATGGCGGTACATTTCGTCGTCTCGATCGGATTGATCATAAAACGGGTTGCATAGATGTTGATGTACTATTTGGGGTATGCACGTGCAAGTTTTGAAGTTGAAAAAAAATGATGATAGAAAGAACCCCTTTCAAGTATTCCTGTTCTTAGAGATCTTATTATGATTTTATTGTACCTAGAAAACCTTACAATTGTATTTTTAAGAATAATTTCTACCTGTTACTTAACCCATTCGTGACAGATGTCCGCCACTAGTGGTGGACACCGAAATGTCCACTTCGGACCATGTCCACCATATGTGGCGGACCAGCTTTTGATGAAATTTTTAGAAACAGTTCGAGTTCTTCGAGGAACTTTTCCCAGTGGTACAAGTCTTCATACCTTTGTTAATTTATGCAAATAGTGGACCAACGAGATCTTCAGATATAAGGGTCCCAGGCACGATTCAACTAGCAGCACCTGAGCCCAAAACCTCTAGAAAAATTTCTGCTGAAAAATTGCCGGTAGGGGTTACTCAGTGCCCCGATCACGAATGTGACGTCCGTTTCTGGCGCCGGCGGTGTTTGACTCCATTTGGCACCATTAGGCGCCAATTTGGCGCCACCACTTTTTTCATCAAAACCGGGGCGCCAGAATGGTGCGCGCCAACTCACCACTACCTTTTTTCACCAAACTTCAGGAAAAGTTACATACTAGGGCTTTTGTTGGTCTGGTCACGAATATGACGTTCACTACAGGTCCCAGCGCCAACTGGCGCCAATGGGCGCCAATTTGGTGCTATCACCTTTTCCACCCAAATTGATGGGAACTTGGATACTAGGGTTATTCGCAGTCCTTATTATTGATATGATTCGTTTTTAGCGGGAACGTTAGCGTAGGGCACAAGGGTTATCAATGCGATGCTGAGGCTGAGTTGCCTTAGAAGGAAGGAAACACTCCTCCTCCAAGCTACAGCCTTTTCAGAGCGCTACATGGCGCTCATGTCATGTAGCGCTCTGCAAAGATAAAAACCAGTGTCTTATTTGTGATCGGGCTTCCTCCCCCCCAATTGAGCTCGAATGCAGAACAGCTGCGACTTTAGCGAAAAAAGGCGACGACGAGTGCAGACGGATCCTAGCGCCGAATAGCGCCAATGAAAAAACTATACACTGTCAACCCTTTACTGCCACAGACATCCGGAACCACGCCAACTTTCGACCAACTTTCTTTCTATGTGGACAGACTTGGCTTAGCAGTCGTTTCCTGAGTTGGTTTGACCTTTTGAACACGTACCACTTCCGCTCGGCTCAAAACCTCCTTGCCACCAGGAGGTTTTGAGCCACCTCAATATGTCAAATCACCTCAATATGCAAGCTTACACGGGTTTTCGAGGGAAGGACTGTAGCACTAAATTAGCGCACATTGGCGCCAAATGGCATCGGGGGATAGACGAATGTCATTTTTGTGACCTGAGCAATACCCCCTGCACTCGATGGTTCGGTAAAAAAGGAGATTCGGGAGCAGAAAGTTGAACAGTGCTAAAATTTTTAGTAAGGGGTCACGAGGGACCGTGTCCACCACTGGTGGCGGACACTTGCTGAGAGCTCGCAAATGCTCCGGTCCGAACGAGCCGTTTTCGAAAAACGCGCCTGGTCGCGAATGGGTTAATGAAAGGTTCTATTTAGAACCAATGTTGGTGAAATTAGAAGAGGAAAGCTGTACCCTTACCGAATCTGTTTAAGTGAAAAATATGTCGAGTTAATTCGTTTCTAGTTTTCTTAAAATCTCGTTTAGATACATCGTTTCACGAGTTTACAAAGTAACATTAACAACCCTTTTGTGTGTTTTGATAAAGCTTTCTGTGAAACCCGCAGTGTACTCTTTAATTCACCATGTGAATAACTGTTTATTTTTCCAGGATGTGTGAATAGTCATGTTCAGTAGGAATAGGATGATTTTTGGTTGAGGCGAGTTACTTTCCTAGATGACGTATTCGCTCCTCGAAAACATGGGTCGGAAGGTCTGTGGGGCCTTACTCATCATTCGCAGGGGTGGACTCCCTCAGGCGAATGAGCTGGAAAACTGTCCCAGCGACTTCGTTCCCTTCAAGTTCTCAGTGTTTTCTCTATAAACCCAGAGACTCATGCATCTTCATTTTCTGATTGCTCAGTTTGCTTCGACGGCCTTCTTAAAGGCAATGGGCATTTTGAAGATGGCCTGGTAAAGCCAGTTGTTCCCAACGTTATTGGTAAAGGCTGGGTGGGTGTGGAAAAAGCACACTTACAGCCCTTCCACAAATGACGTTGGCAAAACCGCTCGGCCAATGCGATCGTGCCCATTGCCTTCAAAAGCAGACCCCGCGCTCACCATTCCCTCCTGGCCCAAGTGGCAGGGCACGCCATTGCGTTGTGATCATTTCCTGAAAAATACGACCCCCCCCTAATTCCATCTTCAAGTACGACCCCCTCCCCATGTTACCTCTTCCCTAGACTTTCCAACCTCCTACCACTTTTATATCTTCAAAAAATTTCTGTTTTTTTCACAAAATTTTGCTGTCGAGCGGGGGGGGGGGGGAGGTCGCAGTACCTACGTACGTCCCAGCAGTCCAGACGTCCAGCACTCTGGCGCTGGTGTAGCATACTGACAATACGTACGAGGAAGGGGCGATGATAGGAGCTACGATCACCGCCCACAAGGGCACCATGAATTTATAAACAAACAAAAGGACTCACGACGTGACGATTAATAAACAGATGAAAGTACATTCCCGGACTTTTCTGATCGTAGGAGCACATTTGCTTGCAATTGGGAAGCCCTATCTAGAAGTTACACCTTTCAAACACCTGCGTGAAAGCCCCATGCATGGCGCATTGCATATGTGATGCCAATTGGCGCCCAATGGCCTATTACCTGATATGCTTGACGAAAACATGTGTTTCAGAAGCATACCAAAGTCTTCGAGCCAACTTTCGGTGTCGTGGGGGGTGATTACAAAATGATCACAACGGGGAATTTTTTCGAATAGCAGGCCTAGGGAAAATTAAAACCTTGCTGGAAAGTAGAAATCTTCAAGCTTCCGGCACAATTCTTTTTTTTACGAAAGGCCGTGTATGAAGCTTGCCATGGACGTCCAAAGCGTAGCGACTCGCGTTCGCAAAAATGATCACAGACGGATCACAACGATGATCACAACGGGGAAAATCTCTGGAATCGGAACGTTTTTGAAATCGCTCAATTCAGGTGATAAGAGCCAACCTAGCTCTACTCATTCCCACTTTCCCCTCTCCGATAGCTTAACTTTCAACGAAGTTATGGGTGTTCAAATGAGGGGTACTTTTCGAGCGTTTTCGAGCGTTTGGCTTGAAATCGACTGTGGGACGTGAAATAGCGTGTACCAAATGAGACGGCACTTTCGGCGCGAACAACTAGCATACAAATTTGGTAAGTTGTTTTTTCTCATTTATTTTGTGTATTTCAATGCTTTCTAGGTTTCTTTTTAGTTTCTCGGTATTTTTTTAAGTTTGTGATCTAGTTTCCGCCACTATTGAACTATTCCCACCCCAGTCTGTTGTAATCAGACCGCTCCTTTATCGTTTTTTTTCTAGAAGGCCAGATTTGGCTGAAAATTTGCACACAGTGTCACTTCGACCTATTGAGCACGAATATCATATCCGTTTCGAATCGATTTTCGTGATTTGGGGTTTTTTGGCGCAGCGCCACAGGCGCCGCCGCCTATATACCCTAAACCACCAAAATCGATGAAAACTTGTGTTCAGGGGTTATTTGACATCCTGTTTTCAAATATGACATTTATTCCTGGCGCAAGTGTCAGCGTACGTCATCTGCGCTTTGCCGAGACTGAGCCTGGCCTGAGAGAAATCATTCGTTTTCCCAGTTTCAGCCTCAGCAGAGCGCTTAATATGGAGGTACGAAGAAATGATGTCATACTCGTGATCAGGACATCTGATAACATCTACTACAAGTTTCAGAGAATTTTTCTCGACTCCTTGGCGTTCAATAGTGATTAGTTCTCTTTATTGTCATTTTCATCGTCCCTTTCGAGCTTCTTTTCACCTGTACCGTATCAGTGCTCTCTCCACTTTGGAGTGGGCCGATGCGCTTACGACCCCCCCCCTCCATCGCGGGCAAATACGACCCCCCGTTGTGATGATCACAAAGATGGCGTGCCCTGGTGGAAAGGTGCGTAGTCGCAAAGACCGTACTTTCGCGGTTCGGCAGTGAGTGACGAAGGCGCTACGGCAGTTGCAGTTATATACGGTACATCGTACGTGTATAACTGCAACTTACGAAGGGGTACATCGGGCTTCTTGGACAAGGTGGAATGAGCGCGGGGTCTAGTATGCAAACGAAGGGAGAGAAAAGACGGTAAATGAATAGTGGTCGAATAGACGCTAAGCCTTCAATACAGAACTTGGTACTATATTCGATACCAACAAGCGTTCGAACTATCACCGCTAAGTGTCAGCGTACACTTGTCGCAATGTCGAGGATGTGTCAAAAAGCTCATCTGCTGCATTTCCACAGTGGTTACTTCTTCCTAGGTCGATCACTAACCGGTTACTGTTGTTAAATAACGCTGCTCGAGGGGGGTCTATTCCACCCCTTCGACACCTAGAATTTCGTCGACATCAATTACGTGTCATTCGCTCTCATTCCTTTCAGCAGAAAAGAAGAAGAGATGAGGTTCCGTCTGTTTCGAGGTTCTGTTCTTCATGCGATTCCTTGAATGGGATGATGTCATGTGCGTATGAGAAAGCTCGCTCGTCTGCTACCATAACCCTAGCCGCTGTGGGAACCTACTCCCCACTCTAGGCCTAAGGAGCGCGCGTGAAACTCCCTGCCAGTGAGCCAGTGTGATAAGACATACATCACTCGGCTACTGACCCACCTCGAGCACTGCCCCAGTGATGATTGAGAAGTACTTCAAACCGGGAAAACTGAGCCGAGCAGGTGGGTACGGTAGCCCCGATTCCTGCCACTGTGAATCTTTCTTGTTTTATCCTCTACCTCTGTACCTACCGTAAACGAATTGCTAATCTCGCGGCTCATAGATGGATGCTAGGGCGTTGGAGGCTGGGGTATTCTACTACAATGTG